TAACTCTTGCATAAGGTTTTGCTTGTGTTAATTTTTGGTACCAACCGTAAGCCTTATTTGGTAGCAGTGTTGGCCCAGTGGTTTAAGCGTGTGACCATCAACCCTGGGGTCATGTGTGCTAATCACTTATCTGAGCACCAACGGAATTTACTATGTGCGCAATAGCATCTTCCTACGGTTAAGGTAGGGTAGTGAGCAAATGTTTATTAAAACCTATAAATCGACGACAGCTCGTAGAAGTAGTCTGGACGGAATTTTCGCACGTAGACGCTAATTTGTTCCGTTGTGCGTTGACCTGGCTAATTCAACCAGCCTAGCTCCTTCCAGGAGCTCAGAAGTTTCGCAGGCTTCACGGAGCGACCTCACGGCTTCGAGGATTTCTTTTCGTTAGGAAGCCAGAGCCCAAGACTACGTGGGTGACTGATTCGTCTGCGCTGAAACAGACTCTGCACAAGGGACGGTTTGTCTACGACATGAAGACACAGAAGGCTGATCACATACTTGTCTATAAAAATTATTAAAGAAACGGATGCAATGAAAGGACAGAATGAAGAGCCATTTAGGGTTGTAAAGCCATTGAATTATTATATTATTATTGGCCTGATAGGATCCTCACAACTTGTATATAAATAAACTAATATACATACATTTAATTCTCTAAGTAATACAAGGACAAATAATAGAACTGAGAAATATTGTTGAGTACATTTCTTTTAAGGATTTTATCTGGATGTCATTTATTTTATCGTGCAATACAACATTTTTCCTAAAAAGCTGAAAATGTGTGCCTTTACGTCGATTAATCACATGTAAACGCAGCCTTATATTCCGGTCCAGTGAGAAAGTAGCGCTCTGGGTTGCACTGAATGATCCAGTAAACTGTTGCGTAACTTAAAGCCGAGGTACACTGAGCGCATACAATGTGTATGAACTGTCTAGTGTCTGTACGCGATAACATTTTTTTTTGCGTTACGAGTACTAAAATAGTATGTTTGCATTGCAAAGTTTTTTTATGACAGTTCAATAATGCGTTCAGGTGCGGAATCTCTGGTAAGGCGGGAAGCCGGGTGGTAATAGCGGGAACGCTGCATTGGCCGTTGGGTCATTGCAATGGACTGCATGTGCCCCTTTTATTTTCATGATTTAATATACTTTTAAGCTAACCTATTTGTATAATTATGTAGGAAAACATTGTAACTATCGTTGAGCAGAGTTGGCCTAGTGGCTTTAGCGTGCTACTCTTATACCTGAGGTCGTAGGTTCGATCCCCGACTGTGCACCAATGGACTTTCTTTCTATGTGCGCATTTAAAATTTGCTCGAACATCAACAAAAAGACAATGGCGTGTGTCAGGCACTGAAGGCTGATCACCTACTTGCCTATTAGATTTAAACATGATCATGAAACAGATCCAGAAATCTGAGGCCAAGACCTTAAGAGGTTGTAGCGCCACTGATTTATTTGAGCATTGTAACTAACACAATAATAAATATGCATTTATAATTGTCTGCTTGAATAAATCAATTAGATATTTAGGTAAAAAGATAGTGCACTAGGATATCTGTGTCGTGGGCAGTCAGTCTCTTCCATTTGACATGTTAATTTAGAAGTTTCAATAAAATAAAGTACTTCGTTTTAATACTAATAGTGTACACTTACACTTATTAATTAGTAACTTAACAGTTATGCACTAAAAATTTAAGATTTTATTTTGTACTAGCGGACCTGACAGACGTCTTGAAAATCTTTTTCGGCGAACGAAAAATAATTTGGATGGCTCAGACTGGGAATCGAACCCAGATCGTTTGGTTACGCGCCAAGATCTCTACCAGTTCAGCTATCCGAGAGTCGTACCTGAAAAACCCGCTGTTTAGTTGCAGAATAGATAAATAACATAGACACTTAGCGCCATCTGCCGGGCTGGTCTAAACCATCCAGGGCGCCACCCAAACTCATACAGAAAAATACATTCAATTCGGTCCAGCCATTTAAGAGAAGTTCAGTGACATACACACGTACAGTAGAAATATAATATATTTACAAAGATAAGCCCAGTGCGCTACCAGCGTATACCACATAACGCTGGTTCCCCTCACACGTATAGCATGTATTTGAAGGTCACAAGTAACTCGATATTGGTAAAAACGTAATGAGACCTTTCAAGCCAAAATATTAATCGTTATCTTGTGCCGTATGTCATGTCGACGGCATCGTAAAAGAAAACGATTCTATATAATCATTCAATATGCCAATGTCGCAATTTGAGGTTTTTTGTTAACTTCGTTGTGGTGATTTTAACTCCTTGAAATAAATCCAGTAATAACTTGGGGCATTTGTGCGTCTGTTTTATTGATATCTAGGCATGTGATCGGTCTTCTGCGACTAATATACATAGTCAATTTGTAGACAGACATGGCGTTGTGTGACGGGTCGTTTAATTCCCTCAAAGGCCGGCGGTGCGGACCGTATCTCCCAGCTCCCTCCTTCTGGTTTCTTCTATATAATATGTTTGCCATAGTCATTTTGTATGATGATTTGCTATTTTAAAAGAGTACTGATAGTTTTTTACGATGGCTTTTTAATTCGGCCCTTTGTCTTCTTTGCCGATGAGTAGGGATGTCTACCGAGACAAATTTAATGACGTGGAATAAGTGATACCTGTATTTTATGTTCCATAATAAACATACTTTTGCTGGACATAGCGGTTAGTACCATAAAGTTTTTAAGTCAAAGTCAAAAATAATTTATTCACATAGGTAACACAATGGACACTTATGAACGTCAAAAAAGAAATAAACATTAAATGCCTCTAATTTTACATTTCCTGCCAGTTCTCAAATCAAGGGCGTAGAACGGAAGAGAAGAACTGACAATAAACTTTAAGCTTCTTAGTTTCTAGTGACTGAATAATGTTGTGCACCCATATTTTGTCGCATTAGGTGGATTTTTACTACATAGAATATTTATTCATAGCACAGCTAAATTAAAGGTTTTATATAGGTAAATATTGGAGGATTATGCCTACATAGTTTTATGTAATAAAGAAGATTTAGGTGTTATTGGATCCTTGTTTTATTACAAAAATATTTGATATGCTTAGTAGTGGAAGCCTCCCCACTCTATGCAGCTTGCACTCCAGGGCCGAGGAACTTTACTACTTTTATCCTGACTCAACACTCTCAGGTTGCATATTAATCATAGTTTTAGCTGTCTCTGAAGACCAGTACAGCTACTCTTCCACTATCTCCTTATTAGTCTCTTAGCATGGGAAACGAATAATATTTTTTATGTATTTTAAAAAGGCACAATAACGAATCGAAATAATAGTTTAGTCCTTGAGCCGCGATATTGGGTTACTCGTTACCTCTAGTTATCGGTAAGTCTACATTTAATCCTAATAAATATGTGAAATAGAATATGTGATTAAGCAAAAAAGGAACTAAAAAAATGTAAAATTAGCACTTTGGTTAAATTATTGTTAACGTCTATAATAAATCTTCAAACAATAAACAAATACAAATTTCTTCAACCGTAAACGTATTAACAAGTTATTAATTAGTTACTTAGTTTTTATTAAAATATCACACTGTTATGACAATTGATGATAGCTCAATTCCGTACAAAGAACACGCAGTAGGCGATATAACCACTAAACACGCAAAAAGTTACATTGAAAAGAATTCAATGCCAGTATAATACAATCAAGATTTGAAAGGGTATTCGTCATATTTCATTTATTGTGGACATTTTAGCTTATTATTATTTATTGTATGTAATAGGAGGCAAATGGACAGGGGGTTGATGTTAAGTGATACCGCCGCCCATGGACATTCACATTGCCAGAAGGCTCGCAAGTGCGTTGCCGGCCTTTTAAGAATTGGTACGCTCTTTTCTTGGACCAATCAATGGCGTTGCCAGGGGGACAGGTAGGGGCAGCTGCCTTAGAGTATCGAAATAACATTTTAAATATTAATTATTATAAGTAATATTCTGGTAAGAATATAACGTTACTATTAAGTTAAGTGTACAGTCAAAAGCACGTTAAACTTTTTACTTGCTTTATACAACTCATATTTAACCATACAGGGGTTCGTACTTCTTCTGCCCCCTTAAAATTTGGCTGGGAATGCCCTAGGGACCAGTCACTTCAAAGGTATTGAAAAGAAATGACGTCACGTAACTTCTCAATTGAGCATGGGGCAGACATTTCTGCGTTTATTTCATAGATCAATTTTCCTTATGAACGCACTCGTCTATACCAGCCACATTGTACTTTCGGTTACTGGCACTATTTTTTAATCTTGAATCTAAGAAATGCTAGTTTCCTTCGAATGTTATGCTTAATTGGATTCTAAAATCTATACAAGAACAATACGTTACAGTCATAAATCAATAAGGTCTGTTAAATTATAAATCAAAAGTTATTACTCATTTATATTAAAATTTTTGGTCATTAATCATTGTATCCTGCTTTCGTTTTATATATATGTATATCACTACAGAATGATCTAAAAAGTATGCAGTAAACGTATCGTGGAACTATAATTGAATGAACGTTGAAACTAATCTCTAATTAGTCTACAATAATAACTGTCTAATCAAATATATTATTAGACCAAGTTAACAAAAATCCGCATTTGTAAAGTTTCTCTTATGAAATTGAAGATGATTGACTATTATTGAAGATAAATATTTATTTATATAGATGTATTTAATATAAATATTAGGAAAGAAGTAAAAATATTTTTTTTGAATATTTATTTTTAATTGTATTTGTACATCATTGTAACAGAATAGATTAAAAAGAGAATTAGAAGAAATAAAATGAGGGCCATTTTCAAATCTAACTAAAGTCTATTAAAAAATCAAGAAATTAAAATCTACCTTTGAATATGAGCCTCATAAGAAATATAATGAGTATCACAAGTACTAAGAATAGCCTAGCTTCGAATGTCTAAAGTACTAAGATTTCCTAATCTAATATCACAGTTGGGAAGGTTCTAATGATGATGGATGACTGGTGGCGAGTTGTGTACTACGGCGTTGAATCTGTTGACAAAATAATATTTAATATATTTTTTTAAAAAAAAAACCACACCAACCCCCCATTCGAGGGGGGGGGGGGTGTTTGGGGGGGGGGGGGGGAGGGAAAAAAAAAAATTTTTTTAAAAAGGAAAAAAAAAAAAAAAAAATAAAAAAAACCCCCCCCCCCCCCCCCCCCCCCCCCCCCCCCCCCCCTTTTTTTCCCCCCCCGGGGGCCCCCCCCCCCCCCCGGGTTGCGCGGCGGGGGTTTCTACCCCCTAGACCAATGAGTCGTCAATATATACTGTAGATTATCTGTAAAATAAAAAAAAGTACTATCATAACTCCACAATTCTCCAATGTTCTTCACGATTCTGGCGTTTTTAAAAATTTTTAAAAAAATTTCAACATAAATTAGTTCGAATCCATATCTCTATTTGAAATACTTTGATTTGATTGAACATAATTTTTGTCTTAGTGCTAATTACTAAGTAATTACTTTAGTGGTAGTCCTCAATTTATCAAAAATTCAAGAATTTCCTTTAAATAATAGAAGGATGCTTACGAAATTAGTCTCTATATTCGCAACGATCTTTAAAGTTGGGCAACAGTTGGAAGTGGGCCGTTGTGGACATCTACCAGGTCCAGTTAATAATACGCCTGGTCTTAGTCCTACTTTCACGTTGCTCTATTTATTTTAATTATAAGCTATGTACGCGCTCATTTACTTACAAGAAACTATAAATATACTTTTATGTGTAAATTATATCTGTAGCTTGGGAAGGGAAACTTCTATTATTCATTCATTGAAATAATAAAAGTTTATCTGATGTTGCTAGAACATTTTTTAGATTTAAGACTTCATATACTATTTAGTAATATAGCCATTCTGCTACATAACCAAGTTAAATGTAGCAGATAATAATCTGTATTGTAGTGCAGTAATTGTATTGAACAGATAAGTATAGTGAAATAATCTTTATTGGATAAGATCTTTGTTAGTGTAGCAAATTGGTCATGCCAGATATGAAACTTATAAACTTTCTTTTAACATTTCGCAAGATTTTATAATTTTTTTCTAAGGTTGTAAAATTCCTGTTTATCTTCAAACCAAAACTCAACTCAATTGGCTGTAGAGAATATTAGTAAGAAACGTTGTATATCTAAGATTTGTATTTACCCATTATGATGGTCAGCGGTATAAGTAACCTTACGGAAGGAACCATCAGGCTGCAATAGGGAGTACTCTCCCTTCACAACATCACCATCACGGGTCTCGTGCTGGGACTTGTGGTCACCGGTGTGGGGGTCTTCTACTGAGTAGGAGTATCCGTATTTTGGATGGGCCTGAAAAAAAAAAAGTTATGTAATTTACGAAGCTTATGATGTTTTTAACTAGGTAATTATTTCAGAAAGTTTTTGTACGTAACAAGGAATGTAATATGCCACAAGTTTAAGGTAAAAAATTTCGTACGTATTCGTCAACATAGTGGTCTTCTTGAGCATGTACAGGTGCAGCATGGTAGGCTGGGACAGCGTGGGCAATGGGAGCAGCGTGGACTACTGGAGCGGCATGGACGACTGCGGTAGCGTGGACTGCTGGAGCTGAATGGTATGCGGGTACAGCGTGGACCGGAGCCTCGTAGTGCACTGGGGTCTCGTGCACGTTGTCGTGGCGTATGATGTTCTGGGATGAGACAGCTGGAGCGTGGTGCAAAAGACCAGCACTCGCAGCCACCACCACACTGCACAAGATTGTGATCTAAAAATAGTTTTCAAGTTAGTTAATGATTCATTCACAAAGGTTCTTAAATATAACTTTTATCCCATCCTAATGTAAATGTAAATCCCATGTAGCTATTTATTCAATAATATTTAGTAATATTTCTCAATACAATATAATTACTTTTTAATTAGTTTTTTGTCTTAGCAATTTATTAAGTTAAAATCTAGCTGTTCTTACTTTAGCAAACATTGTTAGACACAAATGCTTTAGATTGTAGACTGCAATTGCTGTGATTTGCACTCTTTTTATATAACAAACAAAACATAAGAGGTGTCGTGGAGGGGGGCCAGTTTCTGATGATATCCGATAGGACCAAAGTAATTGCATTGCCAATCACACTATTGGGTTGCGACATTTGATACGGGCGCTATGTATGGAAATGCGCTTGTTTGATACCTTTGTTGCTGATTCTATGAATATAATGCTATCTTAATCATAACATACGTACGTACTATGTTTTAATTTGTAAGTACAGATATTGCTTTTATATTCTTACTTTCATCTTAGTATAGATAATCCTTCTAAATCTTCCTATTAGAGTTTTTAAAAATCGACTTAATGTGCTTTTGGAAAAATGTTTATGCGTGTAATATTATAATTAATATAAATTCCATACCGTAATATATATTTTAATAACGTAATGATGTAGCGATAAAATAATATAAGCATTGACTATATATACTCATAATGTATGTAACTTCTATGTAAAATTCCTTTTAAAACAAATTTGCACGCTATTATGAGTGGCAGAATATGCCAACGTTAGATTGTACCACTAAAACATTTTTGTACCATATTCTTGCAAATAAATTATTATTATAAATACGAAGGGTTTAAAGATTAATTTTTTGATTAAATTAAACAATTATTTTAGAATGGAACGCTGCTGGGTTTTTATATAAAAACTAACCACTCTACACAGCTGATAATATTTTATAATTAAAAAAAAAAAGGGTGCGTGTACTTATGTAGCGCGTAAGAAGTTATACTTCTTTGGCATTATTAAAAATAGTTTTTGATTGCATGCAAATAATTAATTACAATTAAATAACAAAGACTGGAAAAGGAGTCATTAAAGTCAATAAAGTTCAGTTTACATTTGAAATATTAATTAAATAAATATTTATTATTATTCTCTTACATTAAACAAATAAAACACTATTTATCTTTAAAACATTTTTATTTCATTATACTATTTATTTTTAAGTGACTCTAATGTCTTCATCAGAATTTCGGTTTGTAATTTTAAATTAATCATTACTTGGTTGTGCATCTACGAGGCTTCTCCAAAACTACTTGCTTTCTGCAACAAATAAGAGAATATTAATTTAAGCTCTGTCCATGCAAAACTTAAAATTTTTATAATTATATTATAAATAATATAATTTGTAGCAATGCTACAGACCTGATAGCAACTTTTTAATTTAAATAGAATAATTTAAATATAATACCGGTTCTTCCTTGTAGGTTTTTTGATTTTTGGGATTCTTGTTCAGTTCGACATGATTTTCTTTAACCTTTCTTTAATCCTACAAAATAATAAATTTTAAGTTATTTATTGTGCACACCTTTGTTTGTTTTTATATTCAAGTTATTAAACTGATTTATACCTTGTCATTGTTGGCTTTATGCTTTTGGATATCAATTTTCAAAATATTTTATTTGTAATAACCTAAATATATAAATAACATTATAATTTATATGGATTTGATGTATAAGGTTATTATACATGTCATTATAAGGGGAATGGGTCACTTCTGAGGACAGAGTTTCGGTACTACAAGTGCAACATGGATTTTTGAGGTATTACAATATCTCTAACTACCCTTAGGGGAATAAAGTAATTTGTAAGATATCCTATCTTGAAAGGTTGAACTTGAACATCACCATACATATATTTATAATTAAATTCCTACCTCGACACCATCACAATCAAATTCATTGAAATCTACTTCAAACCATTGTGTCTCGAGAAGGTGATGGTGTTGTTCCACCTCAGTTTTTATTTTCAGGCGATAAGATGACAACTCTTTTTTGTATTCAATTTAGTGCACTTCCACTGATTCATCAATTGTTTTTTGTCTCTTTCCTTATATTTGCTAGATTAAATCTGATTTTTGATTAAATATTATTTGAGATCAGGTACTTATTAAAATGTTATTCTTATATCTCCAAGCCTTCATTTTCTTTATTCGTCTTAAACTTTGTTCTCAATTATTATAAAGTCTAAATATTTCTAAAAAGTTGTGTAACAAACGCAATAAACAAAAGCAATGAATAATGTTCATTTTCATTTTAATCAAAATAATACTCGATAATACATAGATATTACCTCAATTGTATTGAACACTAGAAGGTTAGCAATTTTTTCACAAATTTTATATTATTTCACAAATATTTTGTATAATGAAAATAACTAGGTATATAAATATTAATTTTAAACAATAATTAAAACTCCTATATTTGTTTAAAAGGTAAATTCATTGTCAGATTCAATTGTCATGGTATTCAAAATTTTTTCTTTAATTAGAAATGAAGTTACTTACGCATTCTATTTCTTTTACTTGTATTTGTCTTATTCCCATCTCGTCGAGCTATATCACACTGAATTTTGTGTCATAGGTCCGCGAATGTAAAATTTCACTCTCATCAATTTTTCATCGTAGATACAATTAAAAACTTTAATGAAGTTCTATTTGACATTCATAATAATGTAATAACTAAAATACTAGGTAACATTTATGAGAGTGAAGCGTTTAAACACTTCTTTAAATTTAATGTTTTTTTCAAGGTCAAGCAACAATTAAACAGTTTTAGATACACACGATTGAGATAACAACCGTTACAATTTTTGATAGTTATTCTAGACTGTTAGAGGACGTTGGGCAATTGTACAATTTCAATAAATTTACTGCGAATCAAGATAGCCGATTTATAAATTCATTGGGACATTATATTCTAAAATAATTAGCTTAAAACGGATCAGTTAATAAATGATTGTTGAGCTGTATTGTTGAGATGAGCTCCATAGTTACAAAGATAAACACCAATTTGAATTTAAGAGAATTAAGAAATGTTCTAATGTACGTACAAAGAAGCACGTCATTTTTTTTAGTTAAAGACTACACCACCAAGTAGGTACTAAGTAGTGTAGTGTGGTTTCCGCACTTTGATGTCCATTTCATTTGTGCGTTAAATCCTGGCTTATTAAAGCAGCCTAGCTCCTTAGCTTAGCAGAAGTTCAGAAGTTTCTGAGCAATTTTAATCATTCAAATCTGAGTCAATTACGCTCAATTAACCACTAGTTGGACTCTGCCCATACAACTTTTACACAGGAATTTTATTAATTTTAAAGAAATTCCTTTATAATTATTAAATTGTATCTGAGATACTCTCGGCGGGTCTTATATAATAGCTTTAATTTATTCTAGTTACAAGAGTTGTGTACCTTATATAAACTAATAATGTAATTGTTCATTACAATATGCTTACGTTAGATTAGGAAAGTGAATGAGTATATCTTGGTTTAAATAATCTTACATTGAACAACAGATTTTTTAAGCGATATATAAAATTTATCGCTAAAGTGTAATTAGTACGGCTACTCCTATTTGCTGTTTTTCTTACGCCCTTTTTCGTAAGGGTTTTAATTTTTGCGAGTTTTTATTTATGCTGTAATATTTATAGTTTTGTAACTAGAAAGTATTTGTGTCGATTCCCGGTATGGAAACAACTATTTCGCTTTAGATATATAATAAGTATATTTATTACCCTATATTTTGAAAAACTTTATAATAAAACAGACATAGAAATATGTATCCTAAGTAAATTTGTTGGGGATTCAAATTACCCTTTTACTTTAATATATATTATAAAAACATACAACAAATCACCAAGGTTAAAGTAATACTAACGAATTTATGAAATAAGTTTTTGATTGACGAAACTAAAAGTAGGTATCGTTACAAAATAATTATATTGTGTGCGTAACATACAAGCCTTAACAATACATTACACTTTGCATTTACAAAAATAATTACTATCATTAATTCAATTGAGTAAAATTAAAAGCGCAACGCTTAATGCTTTAAAATGCATTAAAATTTTATTTAATTTATACACACTTTTATTATTTATTTAATTATTAGTAATCTTACAGCTGAGACACATATTATAAAACAAACAATATACAAAGCCAAAACAGATTACATAGATAAACAATATATATATGTATGAAACAGAAAATATAATTACATTAATGGACAAAAATATATAAAAAATAATGAAACGAAACTGAAATTTAACATTTAAGAAATGTTTGCATAAAAATGTCCGAAGGTATTGCATGATCATACATTTTTATGATATTATGTGCATTTTTCATACTTCAAAATAAAAAAACATCATCAATATATGTATATAACATCCTTTTGCCGACTTAATTGAGCTTGATAAATAAACTACAAACCAAAAGTTCTGTATCGGAATACTTTATCGTGTCAGTGAAGCTTCGATAGTTACCAGATAGAGCCTGTGTAAGAAGAGAACCAATGTGATGGTTCTGCGAACTAATAATTCTTATTTGCTTCGCGTTCAGAAAATTTTTTCAGTTCAGCTACAATGTGATTGCAAACTAGTATAAACTAACAGTGTCCACATAACAAAAAGGTAATTTACCACTGCTTCGACCTCTAATAGCGTAGTAATTTTTCAGATTCCACCCACTGGATGAAAAAATTTCATTCACTAGTTTAAAGGAAAGATAATATTCGGCATCAACAACGTTTAATTACTATTTATTTGTAATAAGTTAACATAGTTTTATTAAATATATGTAAAACATACTTTGTTGTAATAAATTAAAAACCAACGTAATATATTCTGGAATGGTAATAAGAAGACGCAGCATCGGAGTCATGACTTTCCGGTTCTTTAGATTCTGTTTTCAGGTTGTGTTCAGCATTTAAAGGCTTTTCTAAATCAGGAATCTGGACAATATCAGGCATTACCACATCGGTGTTTGTTTTAACCAGTTTGATGGGACTTTCGATTGCTTCCATTTTGACAATGGGAAATTCAATAGATTTAACAGATTCAGTCTGCGGTAAGGGATTGTTAACTTCCTCTGCCTTCTCAACTTTTTCAGGTTCTTCAGAAGATTGCGCTGCTTCCGTGACTGGATTACTTTCAATTATTTCACTTGCAATGTCAATGTTGTTTTGTTTTTGATCTTTGTTCGGGAAGAAATAATTTATTTTGATATCTTTTCCAATGGGTAGAAATTGACGGGTGTGTCCATGTGTCGAATACGCGTTGTCGCCGTGATTTAATACGCTGTTGCTTACAACCGCGTTGAATCTGTAATTAAATATTCAAAGTGTTATTTAGTTTACTATGTAATATATGCAAGAGACAAAAAGTCTTTTTTATTTATGTGATTACATATTGTGTGTCTAAATTGGTAAGAGTCAAAAACGTAGGAAATGGGTTTGGAAATAACCAAAGACTTTAAGTAATGTTTTCGTTAGATTTTTCTGTTAATTTTATAACCTAGGGCCAAGATAATAAAGAAAAAAAGATTTACCCATTAAAATCATCAGCGTCGTATCGAACTTCTCTCAAAGACCCATCTGCTTCAACAAGACTGTATTCACCGCGCACTCTGTGACCATCGCGTTCTTCATGATGACGTTTGTGATCACCTGTCTTCTCATCTGATACAGCATACTCGAATTCATATTTCGGGTAGGCCTGGAAACATATTAACTCTTATTTAGAAGAAGAAACCAAAATAATAAAAAGTTTCATCAGACATGGTTGTACATATTTTTTTTTATAATAGACTAGATGAACTCGCGAACTTCGTATCACCTTCATATTTTTGTGTCAAAACGTAATACAACATTTTTAAAAGAGACCAAATACAACCTCAAATACAGCCATGAATCATACACACATTTCTGAAGGCACCTATAAATATATGACAACCAAGTGATACCTCTTTATTTCTAAAAATACGTAAGAACACAATAGGAACAGATTTTATTGGTAAATTCAATTGTATTTTTTAGTATTTTATTTTACTTAAAAAAGCTTCTCTGGCCCTCCACAAATAATTCAAGACCAAATTAGCCGGTCCAGCCGTTCTCGAGTTTTAGCGAGACTAACGAACAATTCATTTTTATATATATAATATAGATATATAAGATAGATAGATTACGAACAAATACTCACATATGTATCATAATTATTATATACTCGTTGCGTCCTTGGTGGATGATAAGTTTTGACTGTACTCCAGCTGGCTCCATCACCAGTTTGAAAAGCTTCTTTGTAAAATGGCGTTTGATCTATTACTACTGCTGAAGCGATGCTTGCAAAGCTTATTAAGATCAGTCCCTGGAATATAAGACACGGTAAAAGAAATTATAAAGATGAGGGAAGAGAGAAGGATCCCAACTTCACGTTCTTCGTGTTTTTGTACCCAATTGTTGTTTTTTATAGAACGGGCAGGAGGCTCTCTTGATGTTACGTGATACCGCCGCCCATGGACACTCAATGCCAGAGGGCTCGAGTGTGCGTTCCCGGCCTTTTAATTAAGGTGATGGAGTTTTGTAAATAATGTCGCTGTCTGTAGATACAGAATAGGTACCAGTTGTGGATTCTTAACCTCTTTATTGAAACTTAGCATTTCTGCGTTAGTTCTTATGCCTATGTTTCAAATTAACTTTTGAGAATAGCGATTTTATAGTAGACTGTACTTACCGATGTATACATTTTGCTGGGCTTAGTGAGTACCGTCGCACACTTGAAAGAGCAAACTGCTGCTTCGATCGGCCAAATCAAGTATTTTATACTTTTCTAATTGCCATTATATAAATTAACAAAAAAACTTTACTTTTCTATCTGATTGTGTATAGAATAACGCAGATTCAATATTTTTGATCCTTATCATTGTACAATAACTCGAACCTATTGTATCATAAAACTTTCATTACTTTCTGGGTGATGCCAAAAATGTACTGATTCTAAATCTTATAAGAGATAAATCAGAATGAACAACTTGCAACTAACGTTCAAATCTTTATTTAAATTTTACAGTTTTATTGCACATACAAATAAATATGATAAATTCAAGTAAAAATTAGCTTGTTCCACATTTCTCTTTAGATAACAAGAAGACTGATAAAAATAATGGAATATAAAACTTCTTTTTCAATACGATTTTGAGTAAAAATTAAATAGGTACACGAGTTTTATTTGACATTTAACGCCTCTTCAATGATGAAAGCAAAGACTGCTTGTATTATGTGCATTGTATTTCTATAGATTATGTAATTGATAGACGTTTTTTTATAAATTACGCTACATACCTATATAGATTATAGGGTTGCCGAGAATAGATAGCTTATAAGTGATAGATAGTTAACTAACGAGTTGTAGAATTATTGTGAAATTGGTGGAGGAAAATTATTCGTACCAGATCTTACAGTACAGTTGAACACGGTACTAAGACATGTGTTAACGACCCATAAAGAGAGATATATTTTGAATAATAATATTATAATTATAATATGTTATTTTAAATTTATAACCCGGCGATTGTAATAGTTAAATATATGAAATCATAAAATGTAGGTTCTAAGATACTTTATTATTTCTTAAGTGTAGTTTAAACATTAGTTTATCAAAAAAGCAAAGTACATTTTAAACATATAGTGTAATGGAAGAGGAAGATAGAAGTAAAAAGAGCTACAACGCAGCTCCATTGTTACCCAAAAAAGAATATTCAGAAATAATATTAACAAAATTTTACCAATAGGTGGCAGCAATTGATAATTTTGTCAATCTAATTTGAAATTACAATAAATCGATTACATTTAGCGTTAGTATTCTATTGACGTAAATTGTATTCGTCGTATAAGTGATATTAATTTGTACCTATTGTTCTGTAGGCCAATTAAATGTAATGCCACACTGACACAATCTAATTTCATAAAATCTTATCCAAATCAGTTTTAAGGTTTCTGATAAAACCATATTTTTATTTATTTTATAATTATAACCAACCTAGGAGTTCAGACAAATCGTTTCGAATTCTTTTCGATTTAAACGGATTCAACAGTACTTATCCGGAGGCTGGATATATTCGGTAGTAGGCTGATCAGTTTTGCTAGCATTGCTAGTTATCTAGTAATCCCCTGTTTTTTTTCTAGTTAAATAAATTTCTGGAGTTTTTATTTTGTTTTATTTTATTTTGTTTTTTTTTAACATTTAAGTTTACCTAAATTGTAATACATTTTCTATAAAAGAGTTTGTGACTTATACATTTAGATTTCATACTATGTATGTTGTGGTAAACTTTAACAAATTATCTATAACTGTTGATTCATTTTTAGGATGGATTAGGAGAAACAAACAAACAAATCATATGAGATATTATAATGACGAGTTTTAAGTCGCCTAGTAAAAAAATATTAGCAAATTCGCTTTCTTAAATATTGAAGTAATAAAAGGTAAAATGAAACGTTTATCGTAATTGAGATAAATTTATTCGCTAGTAAATAAATAACTAATCATCATAACTGTTTTGGTAGGTGCTTGGTTATTAATAATTTAGTGGTAGTATTGGTGAGCGGGGGCAGCGTAGACGGGAGCTTTGAGGAGGACAGGTGCGGCCTTGACTAGGGTTGGGGCGGCGGTAGGAGCGGTGTTGTGGACGACCGCGTTGAAACCGCTGTGGTCATCAGCGGAGTACTCTACGGTTCTGATGGAGCCATCAGCTTCGTGGAAAGAGTAGGAGCCCTTTACGACATCACCGTCGCGGACCTCCTGTTGCTGCTTGTCATCACCGGTGTGAGGGTCGGCCACGGAGTAAGAGTACTCGTATTTGGGGTAAGCCTGCAATAAAAAAAATTAAAAGTAAGTTATAGAATTTCCAAACGCAAAAAGAACCAAAGTAATATTATTGTATATAACTTACGATTTCTTCGTGAGCAAGGACCTTAGCGACGGGCGCGGCGTAGTGTACTGGAGCAGTTTGGTAGGCAACTGGGGCAGAGTGGTAGGCAACTGGGGCAGGGGCAGCGTGGTAGGCAACTGGAGCTGGAGCAGCGTGGTAGACGGGAGCGGGAGCGGCATGGTAGACTGGGGAAGCCTGGTAAGCGACTGGGGCGGCAATAGCCACCTTGGCGTGTTGCTGGTCGTGACGGACAATGCTCTGGGAAGAGACGGCCGCAGCCGGAGAGTAGTGAACGGCGGCTGGCAGTAGGCCAGCTGACGACACTGTCACCAGGGCGCAGAGAGCTACAATCTGAAAATTTATATTTAAAGCTTAATAAAGTGTATCAAATTAAAATATAAAAAAACAAATTTGTTAGATGTTTCTATTTCCATGAGATATTCTTTGGTAAACCTACTTTAGAGAACATGTTGAATGTTTCTGTTCAATGTGCAGAATGATTTGATTTGCTCCTGCTATCAGCTTTTATACGAACTTAAAAGCCTATCTGTTATCAATGCTTCACCTTGCCCGCGGCGTTATGAACTAATGTGTAGCACTCCTGACTTTCGTTGCAATTCTTTATGATTTAATTTGAATGATGGGTGAATGCTGAAATTATGACCTTAATTTTATATGTAATGAGAAAGAGAATTTGACCTAGTAGCTTTAGAGTGCGACTCTCATTTCTGAGGTCGTAGGTTCGATCCCCGGCTCTGCATCAATGGACTTTCTGTTAGTGCGCATTTAAAATTCGCTCGAAAGGTGAAGGAAAACATCGTGAAGAAACCGGCTTTAGAGCCTAAAAGTCGACGGCGTGTGGCACAGGAGGCTGAACACCGACTTGCCTATTAGATCGACAGATGATCATGAAACAAAATTCAAATTCAAATTCAAAAATCATTTATTCACGTAGGTAAACAATGTACACTTGTGATTCGTCATTAAAGAAATAAATATTAATGCTTCTAATTTTACATTTACTGCCAGTTCTCAAATCAAGGGCGTAGAACGGAAGAGAAGAACTGGAATAAACTCTCCGCCACTCTTTTTAATCGCCATTTTTTTTTTTTTTTACAACGTTTGTAAGGAGCTGCAACCATTTCACCATGTTCCACATGACATTTTAAGTAATTAATAATAATAACATAAATAAAAACAAAGACTTGTCCCGTATCAAGGAGGATGGTGAAATAGGAGCAGACTTACATTCTCGTGGGAACAACACGCAAACACATAGTCGAAATAATTAACATCGCCGATAACAATTCAAGTAACCATACCAAAGTAGCACCGTTAGAGTATGACGCATGGCAGCCATCGGCCCCCTCGCCATATTTTAGGGAGAGAGACAACCGACGCATGGACGCGCCAAAGAATGATCATGAAACAAAAATCTTAGGCCTAGACCTAAAAAGGTTATATCGCCACTGATATTTTTTTATATGTTATTAAATGAATTGGACCGGTAGAGTTAAGATTTCCCACGCCTTCGTACACGAAGATTATGCAAATAACAGTACGTTATTCTGTCATAACTTGAAAAACTTTTTGATACCTAAACATATTATTTCAGATACAGAAATCTGAGACCCACACCTAAAAAGGTTGTAGCGCCACTGATTTGTTTTATTTATTTCTTTTAAACATATTAATTACGTTTTATAAAAAGTTAGCACTTAATCATGATTAGTCAACCAATATAAGAATAAAATGTTGTAATCTTTCTTCCTACAGTAATAAGTGAATGTGATCCCGCCTACTAGTTTGCGAACCCATAGCATTAATGGCCGAGAGCAAGGTCAACTCTAATCGTGTTAGACAACTTCCACCACTGTCATCTGAAGTAATATCAAAATAATTTTTTCGTATATAAGATCAGTGTCACAGAGACAGCTTATATCATTCATCAGTTGAAATTCATATCAACGAAACATGTTTTCCAAAGTAAGTAATGCAAAAGTAGGCTAAAGATTTATAAAATCTATAAACGTTTTAACATATTTTACCCGTGTGTTTATAGGTGGTAGTGCTCTGCGCCCTGGTGGCCGTGTCGTCAGCTGGTCTTCTCCCAGCTGCCGTTCACTATTCCTCCGCTGCGGCCGTCTCTTCCCAGAGCATTGTCCGTCATGACCAGCAACAAGCCAAGCTGGCTATTGCTGCCCCTGTCGCTTACCAGGCTGCCCCAGTCTACCATGCCGCTCCCGCTCCCATCTACCACGCTGCTCCAGCTCCAGTTGCCTACCACGCAGCTCCTGCCCCAGTTGCTTACCACGCTGCCCCAGTGCACTATGCCGCTCCCGTTGCTAAAGTACTCGCTCACGAAGAAATCGTAAGTTATTCACAGTATTATCAATTTTGTTTTTTTATTTAGCAATATGAAAAACTAACATCATATGTAATTTGCTTGTTTCAGGCTCACCCCAAATACGAGTACTCTTACTCCGTGGCCGACCCTCACACCGGTGATGACAAGCAGCAACAGGAGGTCCGCGACGGTGATGTCGTAAAGGGCTCCTACTCTTTCCACGAAGCTGATGGCTCCATCAGAACCGTAGAGTACTCCGCTGATGACCACAGTGGTTTCAACGCGGTCGTCCACAACACCGCTCCTACCGCCGCCCCAACCCTAGTCAAGGCCGCACCCGTCCTCCTCAAAGCTCCCGTCTACGCTGCCCCCGCTCACCAATACTACCACTAAGTTAGCACTTTATAAGTGTTAAACATTGATTGGAGTTAGCAATGATTATTTATTATAAAATATAAGAATATAACA